TCTAAATAAAAAAAAACAAACAAAAAGGTTTTCAGGGCTAATTTGTTAAATGGAAAGTTGGGATGTCTGGGGAGTAAAATTTTCTCTCTTCACGAACCCAAGTTATGGAGTGCAAGATTGAGAAGTTCACTAAGTCCGTCTATTTCGATAAAGCTCTGTACTAGCATGACACCTGCAGCATCAGCACCACAATCCAAGTATCAACATCAACATCACATAAACTGCAAAATTCAAAGTCCAAGTTCCAAACGTTTTGATTGGGTTGTGGTCACTCAAAATAGATCCATTCCCCATGGAAGCACTCAACAGCCCATCGCTCCCGAAAGATGGTCATTGTTTCGTCATCCAATCCATCCATTGCGGTGTTGGTCATGTCAAACTTAATAAATTTTAGGGGATATGCCCCACAATCAGCATTGCAATAGGAAGAAGACATTAGCATTAGAATCAGCTTATAGAATAATTGTATTATGTAATTTAGTTTTATACAAAATTTACCTTGATTCATTTGTTGGGACGAGAACGCGCTTGAGTGGCCACTTTCCCATCAATGCTTCATCACCGAGGTGCTCAAACATCTCGCTGTCACGTAACAGCCGCGGGAACAACATGGATAGTGGCTCCAACTCAGCCTCCAACTGCCTATCTCGACAAATTGTTGGGTTGTAATCAAGGATCTTCAGTAACCTCTCCTCTAAGAGCACAACGACTGCTATCCAATGCATTTCCTTGACCAGGATGATGCAGTAGACACTTTTAACCTTTGCCCAACTGTGGCCATATTTGGGCTTGTCCCCCATTACATACTGCATCATCCTATCATCAAACTTAAAATCATTAAGGACGCAGTCCAAGTCTTTTGTGCCCGATCGTTTTCGTTTGGCTCCTTTTGCTACAGATGTACCAATGGCTTTTTTCAATAAATTGCGATATGTCGATACCAGTGTTTAGCCAACGGCCACATCAGTGATGGCACAATCGAGATACAGTAGATCACCATTGCTGGTTTGTCACAACCTCATCAGTGCCAATACCCCATCGATGTGCTGCATCAAATAAAAACAAAATGATAAGTATACAATACCTCATGGAAAACATAAGCAAAAATAAGGAAAATTAAGCTAAAATAACTCACCGAGTCGTGAAGCCAGCTGCCCACGTCAAAATCTTTTCAAACCAATCCCGAGAATAATCCCCGGTCTTACACTTTACAAGTGCATCACTTTCGGATTCATTGTAATAGGCATAGAAGGGTTTTTTCTTTTCCTCCTCTATTGGCCTATACAAATCGACAGTGGACTCCATTTTTGCTTGCCCGCTTCCTCCCCTTTCCTCCATTTGTACATCCCCGCTACCTTCGCCTCCCGCCTCAACCTCCTCCATTATAACTGCACCACTTCCTCCAGCAACCTCTTTAACCACATAAATTTTTGCTTCTTCCTCAATTTGTTTCTTTGTTTTCCTCTTAATTCCACGTGTTAGTATGGTGTAAGGCGATTTCACAAACCTGCTCTTTCGGCTCTCTCTTTTCAGCCCAGGTTGCATTTCAACCGCCTTCAATACTCCACTAACTTCCTCCTGAATCCTACCAACTTCATCCTCCACCCTAACAACTTTCTCTGCCACCTTATCCACTTTCTCCTCCACCTTTTTCAACTGCTTTTCCATCTTATCAAACCTACCATAAACAGTTGTTGTAAAACTATATCAAACAAACTGTTTATGAGGTCAACCACCTCACTCTCCTGACCCCGACGCCTCGGCAAAGCGGTACTTGTTGTACCGGTTTGCTGAGGCATACAAACCTCTTCCTCCCTCCCCTCCTTCTCCCTCCCGTCGATTGCGGCTTCATCCTCCTCGGCGTCAACCACATTCTCAAACAGTGGCCCTACAACGACCCTCACATGTGTGACCCCTTGTAGCTCCTGCGTCAGTGGTCTATCCCTTCATCCCTTTGATCCTCCAGTGCTCGGAAAGATGTGACATAGTGCTGTTGCGCTTCACCACCAATAGCGGTGAGGAAGGGACGGACAACCCCCTGCAATAAGAAACAAAATCAATCAGATTTAAGCGACATTTTAAAGCAAGTGCATATTCAAAAGCTTAATCCTTTAATCTTATCCGAGCTGATTGAATTTCAATCTCTATTTGCTCATAATCCCAATGGGTACACTTCTGGTCGTGCCACCGCAACATCCTAAGAAATGTATGTTGCACAACCAAAACCCTAATCCTCCCCCCTGCCTTAGCCAGGACAGGGATAACCTCATACATTCAAGCCTACATTGTAAAAAAACAGTCCATATCATAATTCAAACACATATATTAAAAAAAATATAACAAAAGCTATTAATATTTATCTGCATTGCCCATGGGAAGCCAAACAAATTGTACGTCGCCGGTCTTTTCTTCTCGGCCCATTGGGAGTGCTTTAACGCCAGGTCTTTTGCTTGCAGGGACTCAATGGTTCGATTAAATGATACTCGTTCCCACGGATAAGCATTAAAGAAGTTCAAGTTGCTTACAAACTTCACCCAATCAATATCAACGGCTTTTGTTGAGTCACCAGCCATTAGGATCGAATGTAGGAACAATACCAAGCACAGTTTGAACGTCTTTGAATCGTTAAACTCACCATTTTTTAACCTGTCCTCTAATTCCTGTGCCTTAATAAACGTGTTCCCCGCAAAAACCTTGTTAGCCAACCTTTTGGCTGCCGTACGGTCCTTTATTCTTTTTTCCTCAACCTCACCTGGCAATTCCCCACATCTTAAGCCAGTCACCAACGCATATTCCATCATCCCAAAACGTAGTGGCTTTCCATCCACCACGAACCAAATTTCATGCTTTTTGTTGCTTTTTATTGAGTGCAGCAACATATAATGCACTCCTGACCCCCAGAATGTCTTTTTCCATTTTGTGTCGATATCCCAAAATTGACTTAAACAAGTCTCTTTAAATCTCCTTTCGCCATTCCTCACTATCCCTAAAATCCACGTTATTCTCGTTAAAACATCCCAAGTTGGCCTCACTGTCACCCTCATAGGGAAGTACGAAATCATATCGCTTACATACTCCAACCCGTACTCTATATAGTTTATGCTCCGGAAAATCTGCACAATCGATATAAACAAAATATCAGCAAAAAAATTAAACCAAATCAAATATAAACAAAATACACTCCAGAAGAATCGCTTAAGCGATGGGCAGATGATTCTGCCTTATACAAGATCTCTTAAGCAATCTGAAATCACTTAAGTGGTTTCAGATCGCTTAAGAGATCTTGCATGAGGCAGAATCAACATCTGCCCAGATCTAGGATCGCTTAAGCGATATTCTATATCGCTTAAGCGATTCGTCGCTTTTACTCTTAAGCGATTCGTCGCTTTTACTCTTAAGCGATCTGAAATCGCTTAAGTGACCAAGAGTAAAAGCGATTCATCACTTTTACTCTTGGTCGCTTAAGCGATTACAGATCGCTTAACGGATCTTATACGAGGCAAAATCAACATCTGCCCAGATCTATAATCGCTTAAGCGATCCTTTGTATCGCTTAAGCGATTCATCACTTTTACTCTTAAGCGATCTTAAATCGCTTAAGCAACCAAGAGTAAAAGCGAAGAATCGCTTAAGCGATGATCATAGATCTGGGCAGATTTGATTCTGCCTCGGAAGAGATCGCCTAAGTGATCTTAAAATGCTTAAGCGACCAAGAGTAAAAGCGATTCATCACTTTTACTCTTGATCGCTTAAGCGATTACAGATCGCTTAAGAGATCTTGTACAAGGCAGAATCAACATCTACCAAATCTAAGATTGCTTAAGCGATCTTTTATATCACTTAAGCGATCCTAAATTGCTTAAGTGACCAAGAGTAAAAGCCATCAATCTCTTAAGCGATACAAAAGATCGCTTAAGCGATCTTAGGTCTCATCAGATGTTCATTATGCCTCGGACATTATCGCTTAAGCGATTTAGGATCGCTTAAGTAACAATACAGAGCAAGGGGACAAGTACAAATACCTTTTCTTCGGCAGCCTCCTCCTCTTCCTCGCTTGAACTCTCGCCGGACTCCTCTTCCTGGCCTGAATTCTGGCCGGCCTCCTCTTCCTCTTCAAAACTGTTTTGCTCCTGTTCTCTCTCTTGTTGTGCCGTCGTCGTCTCCACTGCTGGAACACCTTCACTAATTGGAGGATCCACCGAAGCAGCCATTGAACTGCTTGCGCCGCCAGACTCTACGATTCGAAGAGGCGTTGGGTTTTCCTCCTCATTGTCAATGTCAGCCATGGTTTTAAGAAAGGAAGAAGCTTTAGGATTGAATTTGGGTGTGAAAATTTGCAGGAATGTGGACTGTTATTGCTAGAAATTGCACAGAATACGTTAACGGATTAAAGAAATCGATTTTTGCCTTAATCGGTTTCGATTAAGCAATTTGAATGGATGGGACTCTTTTTCAAATTTCAAATTTTAAAAACTTTCATTAATTATTTTTGTCCTTATATGTTTTAATCTTTTCATTTTAACCCATTTTACATGTTTAATGGATCCTAACTGTGCCACATCAGCTTCTCTAAATTAAAAAAAAAAAAATGAAAAATATTTTCAAGGCTATTTTGTTAAATAAAAACTTGGGATGACCGGCCAGTTAAATTTTCTCGATAAACGGTATTATTGAAATGATCATGGTGTCAAGAGAAAAGTTCATCGAACTAGGGGAAAGGTTCGCCGAAAGTTGTTAGCATTTTATAATTTAACTTATCAAAGATTAAAGAGATTAAATATGTTATAGAAATGTGGGAGTAGATTCCCACGCGGCAAATAAATCTTTTGGGAGGTCAAAATGCGAGAAATTTCAATCAAACACTAAGAGATAAGAAATAATTAATTAAACTTTGTGGAAGGTTCGAGATAGCAGATCAGGCAATCACACTTTTATGATAAAACTTTTCGTATTGCTTCTTGAGATGGTGCTGCTTCATTTTTGAAAGTCTATCAAGTACGATGGCTTCTTCTTCTTCTTCCACGGCTGTTGAAGTGAGGAAGCATGATGTTTTCCTCAGTTTCTGTGGCGAGGACACCCGGACCACATTTACCAGCACTTTACATGGAGTTTTGGAGAGTAGAGGTATAAACGTTTTCATTGATGATGAACTTAAAACAGGGGAGGAGATTTCGTCATCTCTTATGAGTGCAATTGAAGAATCAATGATTTCAGTTATTATTTTCTCGAAAGGTTATGCATCTTCAAGATGGTGTCTTGAAGAACTTGTGAAGATCCTGGAGTGCAAGAAAACAAAAAAACAGGTGGTAATACCAGTTTTCTATCGCATAAATCCATCAGAAGTAAGGAATCAAACTGAAATTTTTGGAGATGGATTTTCCAAGCTTGTAGAAAGTTTTGATGAGGAGAAGTTAGAGAAGCTACAAATGACAGAAGAACAGTCTAAAGACAAGATTCAGACATGGAAGAATGCTTTGACAGACGCAGCCAACCTATCTGGCAGGTCAAAGCAGAGATCGTAATACTCTACCCTTCAATTTAGTACTCTTGCTGTTTAGCTGATTTTAACTTTCACATTATATATCAAGTAGTTTAAGAGAGATTCCATATATATTTCATTGGACTGAAGAAGACTTTTTTTTTTTCAATGCCTAATAAAAAATACTCTTTACTTACATTAAAATTCACAAATTAAGTAGCTAGTTACTAACTTACTTTTTGCAAAATATTTTACATGTTTGTTAGAACTTGAATACTGAAATATTTTAACATGCTAAGAGCTCAACATTATATTAGTCCAATAGGCCTCTCAACATTAATTGTGGATTGTTTTTTATTTTTTATTTTATCCAATTGAATGTGAAGATTTGAACTTTAGACCTTTAGCTTTCATACCATGTTAAATTGCCATCCCACCTTAAAACTTAAGCTAATAAATGAAGACTCAACATTATATTAGTCACTTAACCGTAGGTCCATATATAAAAAATTTCAAGATGCCTGCACCTAAGAATTTTCTTTGAATAATGTTGCATAGGTAAGCTTCAATTGACTTTTTCTTTCATTTCTTAACGGTTTACTACATTTTTAACAATTTTTTTTTTTTTCATTTTTCTTAGGGATGATTTTGGTCTTGCAAATATAGTTATGGAAGATATTTTGAAGTTCTTAAATTTCATGTCCCCAAATAATAATGACAAGAAATTGGTTGGAGTAGAATCAATCATTCAAAAAATTGAATCTTTACTGCAAATTAGGTTGGGAATTGTTCACATTGTAGGAATTTGGGGAATGCGTGGTATAGGCAAGACATCTATTGCAAAGAGTGTATTTGACAAAATAAGCAATCAGTTTGAAGGTTCATACTTTGCTAGAAATATTAGGGAAGAATCAATGAGGCCTTGTGGACTAACTTCAATGCGGCAAGAACTTCTTTCTACTATATTAAAGCATCATGTCAGCTTCACAAAAGGAAGGCTTGATCGTAAAAAAGTTCTCATTGTTTTTGATGATGTGACTACTATAGGGCAAGTAGAATCTTTAATTGACAATACTAATTGCTTGGGTCCAGGAAGTCGAATAATTATAACAGCAACGGACAAACAAGTGCTTCAAAATTGTGGAGCGGATGACATTAATATATACAAGATGAAAGGGCTACTTAAGAATGAAGCTCTTCAGCTTTTTAGTTGGTATGCTTTTCGGCAAAATGGTCCCAACATGGATAATGGTGACTTGTCAAATAGGGTAGTAAAATATACTAAAGGTGTTCCATTAGCTATTAAAGTGTTAGGTTATTACTTACTTGGCAAGTCAAAAGAAGTTTGGGAAAGTGCATTAAAAAAATTCAAAATAATTCCTCATAGGGATATTCACAAGGTACTAAAAATAAGTTATGATGATCTACATGATGATGAACAGCGCATATTTCTAGATATTGCATGTTTCCTTAAAGGAGAGAGTAAGGATTTTGTGGTAGACTTTTTGAATGCTTGTGACTGGGAGGCTGAAATTGCATTAAGTGTTCTCATTGATAAGTGTCTCATAACTATATCAGAGGATAACAAGATAACGATGCATGATTTGCTTCAAGAAACGGGTTGGGAAACTGTTCGATAGGAATCCATAATAGATCCTGGTAAACATAGTCGTTTATGGTACCATAAGGATATCTACGGAGTATTAGAAAAAAATAAGGTAAGTGTCAAGCACATTATATAAATTCTAATTTGATATTTTATGCCTATGAGATCTAATATAATATTGCTTTTGAGAATTATGTTTCCACTTTTCCTATTTGCATTAGCTTGGATGAGTTTTGGCTTATGTTTAATCATCTTAGAAGGAAGTCGAAAAAAAAATATATTATTCATGTAAATAAACTCTTAAATACGTTATAGCTCATTCCTCAGTATCATTTTCCCTTGTATCAGATATCTAATGCAATCGAAGGCATATGTTTAGACATGTCTGGACAAGGGGAGATCATAAACTTACAACCTTCTGCTTTAGGAGTGATGGATCAACTGAGATTCTTTAAACTACATAACGCGTTAAATGAAGTGAATAATATCAATAAAGTGCATGTTTCTCACGGGCTTAATTCTGTTGCCACTGATCTACGATACTTGTCTTGGCATGGATGTCCATTGAAATCATTGCAGCCAAATTTTATACCGGAGTACCTTGTTGCACTTGACATGCCTCATAGCAATATTGAACAACTTTGGTCTGGTGCCCAGGTAATGTAGTGATATTAATATTCCGATATTTCTTTCTTAAGTTCTCAATATCATGTATACTAATATGTGTTACTGATTATTTCTTTCCTATTTGTAGCTTCATAATTTGAAACATATTGATCTCAGTTTCTCTAAACATCTAAGAATTCAAGATCTCTCATTGACCTCAAATCTTGAAAATTTGATTTTGGAAGGTTGTACTAGTTTGTGTGAGATTGTCTCATCCATTGATGGTCTCAATTATAAGCTCCTTTTCTTAAATCTAAGGCAATGTAAAAGCCTTGGTAGTCTTCCAACAGGCATTCGTCTAGAATCTCTCAAAAAAGTTATCTTTTCTGGGTGCTCAATGCTTGAGAGTGTTCCAAGCAANATATTTCTTTCTTAAGTTCTCAATATCAAAGATACTAATATGTGTTACTGATTATTTATTTCCTATTTACAGCTTCATAATTTGAAACATATTGATCTCAGTTTCTCTAAACATCTAAGGATTCAAGATCTCTCATTGACCCCAAATCTTGAAAATTTGATTTTAGAAGGTTGTACAAGTTTGCGTGAGATTGCCTCATCCATTTATGGTCTCAATTATAAGCTTCTTATCTTAAATCTAAGGCAATGTAAAAGCCTTGGTAGTCTTCCAACAGGTATTCATCTAGAATCTCTCGAAAAAGCTATCTTTTCTGGGTGCTCAAATCTTAAGAAGTTTCCACAGATCTCTTGGAATATGAAAGAGCTATATTTAGATGAAACTGCAATAGAGGAGTTGCCGTCGTCAATAGAGAATTTATCCGGACTAGTTATATTGAATCTTAAAGACTGCTCAATGCTTGAGAGTGTTACAAGCAATATCTGCGAGTTAAAATCTCTTGAACATCTCAATCTCTCAGGGTGTTCAAAACTTCATGGATTGCCTGATAACATGGGAAATTTAGAAGCTTTGAGGGTGCTTAAAGCACAGAGGGTACCTACGCGAGAATTACCAACATCCATTCTAAATTTGCGCTGTGTAGAAGAATTAGATCTGACAAGCTGTGGTATTGAGGAATTGCCAAACAATCTTGGTCAGTTATCCACACTAAGAAGTTTACTTCTTGGCAGAAACTTCTTTAAGAGCATTCCGACAAGCATTGTAAAACTGTCCAAGTTATCTTATCTTGACCTAAGATATTGCAAGAGGCTTGAAATCCTACCAGAGCTGCCAAGTAAATTAGAAAATATAGATGCAAGCAATTGCACAGCATTGGAAGCACCATCAAAATTTTCAGTTTTCTTCATTGGACATATTACTCAAAGCATAAAAGTCAACTTCAGCAATTGCTTCAAACTGGATCTCTTAGCCCTCAGTAAAAATATTGAAGATTTTGGATCGTCACCAAATATTTATCTTTTTGGAAAGGTATGTATTGTTGAGAAAGGCTAAAAGGTCTCCTCGGTCTTTCTTTTTTCATATGATTTTCATTACTTTAGTCAGAAAAACAAAATTGTTAATGATATATGTTAACGTTTACCAATGTTATAAGTGATTGACTTCATTTTTTTACTTTTTGTACAGAGATTTGCTGTTTCAAAAATGGCTAGTGGTTGTATCTGTTTCCCTGGATGGGAAATCCCAGAGTGGTTCAACTTTCAAAGAATAGGATCTTTTATAACTCTGGAGAAACAAGCAAATCTTTGCTCTAGTGACTTGAATTCTCTTCTCATCTGTGTTGTTGTGGGGTTTCGAAACTATCATAATGAAGGCGAGGGTTTGGTGGTTGGCTTTGACTGCGTGCTCACAAGGGAAAATGGTATAATGGACTTGTTCCAGGGAACTTTGAGGGGATGGGACTATGGTAATGGACCTGACAATGTGGACTCAGATCACGTATTCCTGGGATCTGATAATGCTTTGAAGTTCTCTGGGTCGCACAGTATTGAAAATCACAAATATTGTGAGATGACCATCCGATTTTATGTTGAGAATTTAAATATTGAAAAATTAGGTTGTTGCAACGTGAAAAAGTGTGGAGTTTGGGGTCCATCCTTAGAGTTAACGACAAGGGAAGAGAAGCCAGAGTCCATGAAAGTGAAAGTTGAACATTTCTACCGTGGCGAATCCAGCTCAGGGTAAATAAGTTGCTATCTTTCTTCCTTCCTTTCATTTTTTTTCCTTTTTTTTCCTTTCTATAACGTCTTATCTTCTTAACGACAAGGGAAGAGAAACCAGAGTCCAAGAAATTGAAAATTGAACATTCCTACGGTGGTGAATCCAGCTCAAGGTAAATAAGTTCCTATCTTTCTTCCTTACTTCCTTCCCTTTTTTTTTTTTTTTTTTTTTCCTGGTAAGTTTTCTATAACGTCTTATCTTCTTAAGATTTCCTTTTGCTTGGATTCTTAGGTTAAATGTCTTGGGTTGAATGGTTATGCCACATCTTTTTTTTTTTTTCCATCGGTATCATTTGTTTTTACTTCTTATGATGCCCTCGCTTATCGTCTCGTCCAAACAAGTTCTTTGTCATAGTGATATAACATTGATTCAATGTAAATTAGAATCTTGACGATGACCTGACTCTGTACCCTCTTACTCTGAGGCTCTGGCCCTCTCCTTTACTATTCACGCAACAAGAAATCCCATGAAAGATTATGGCTATGGAAACGGCTGAACTTGGTTATATGAATCGGGATTCATTCTTTTTTTCTTATTAAGTTCATATTAATGTTTAAATTGTTTATTGAGTTGGTTCTGACAACGTTCAAATGTAAATCTTTCTGTACTCTCTCTCCCAAATATAATATTTATTTCCTCTGTTCTGGAGATTCATCTATGGCTTTTTGCTATGCTTCCAAGTGAAGTTAATTTTTTATATATATGTAATTCTATATAAGCAAATAATAATTTCAAATTTATCAGAATAAAATTTGAATAGGAAGACTATTACTGTCCCCTCTTTGACAAGTTGTGGGCTTTCTTTTTTTTTTTTTTTTTTTAACTGAAAGAAAGATCTTTTAACTTTGTTATTAGTTTTTTCCCAGATTCACATAATCTATTTGACGTGGAAACGTTTATTTGAATTTGTCTGGATAGTGATGATATTGAATTTTCTTTATCTAATTTAAAGTTTTGGAATTTTGATGTAGGCAAAACACTTAAAACCTTCAATGAGGAGTTTCTGCAGATTCATGAGCTTTCGGAGATCTCCTAGTTTAACTTGCTTAATTGCTTCTGGTGATATAAGTACTAAAACTTGCAATATTGGTCCAAAGATAACAGGGAAAAAACCATTCAACTGTTATCAGACTTTTCAGTTGACTTGATTCATTTAATTGAGAAACACAAATGAAGTTTATATCAGACTTTGAGTTTGGCCAGTGATCGGCTGAAGTAATTATTGTTAATGACTTCTTTGATTATAACGTTCTTTCTCATAAGCCACGTAGGTTTCATTCCTCATGTCTTCCTTAGTTAAATTCAAATCTTGAACCAACCTAAGGAGACGCATTTTAGCTAAAGCAAATCCTCTAACAAATACACTTTGTACTCTTGTTCACTTGATGCAGGAGAACAATTTAAGTACCATAACTGTAGAAAAAGAGGCTTAAATTGTGTTTGAATAGTGCAAAGTTTGTGTTCACACATCACTTTGTCAGATGGCAATATATATATATATATATAAAGTGTATTTCCAGATATACGTTATCAAGATCAAGAGCATACATTTAGCATCAGCCACGCGACTTGGGCAGAAATCAAAACAAAAGACTACATTGCCAAAACTAATCTAACACTATTTTCCTTCTTGTCGTGAAAGCTACGAAATTATCAGAACCAGAGAGCTGTGCAAATGGATGGCCTTTCTTGTATCTTCGGAACTGCATCATACCTTTTTGGTTGACAGCATCCACCACTCCAATGTAGCTCAGAATCTGAGAATACACATTAGAAGCAGAGACAAGATCTTACACGTTATGCAAAAAAAAAAAAAAAGCGAAACTTATTCTTGTAAACTGGCTCCAGAAAAAGGAGGGACCACCCCATAATTTGTGATCATATATTAAGACCTACTTCCAGAAGAACTAAAAAATTTTCTCAAACTTTTCAGAATTCTTCTGTCTAGGGAGTCATAATATGTTGTTCAAAAGTATTGTATTCTCTAAGATTGTAGGGCCATTTATTTTCCACAGGATTAAAAATGTGCGCCCAGCTTACTTCTTTAACTTTTTAGGGACTGATTAGAATTTAAACCATGATTCAGACTCAATTTTGAGGTATTGTAATTAGGAAATCTGAGTCTAGCTCTACTGAAAGGTCAAACTTCCAACACTGTTTTACACAAAACTCACTTCTCATGCATCCTCAGCTTCTTGTCTTTCCTTGGACAGTTCTTGGTCATATTGCGGTAATTGCTTCATGAACTCTTCGGCAGATGCACAAGCCTGCGGCCAAAAATTAGAACATCACATTGAAGATGAACTTCTTCCTTAATCCAATATGGAATTGAGAAAAATGTCTTACCCTTAAAGGTTCGGGCACAAGACTGTGAACAGGGAGATTAGAAAGTTCCAGATTCAGACCAGATTCTCTAGCAAGAATTATCACCTGCAGAAAGAAATTCATTTTATGACTCTGTTCTCATCTAAATGGATTCAGCATGGAGGCATGGAATAAATACATATAGAAGCGGTATAATATAGTCACTGTTTGGCCTATTCCAAATAGATAGCATGCCTTTACGATCGTCCCATATTTGATTAGCAATCACATAACTACCAAAGAGATCAGAGGCAATAAATATCATTAATAGTTTGATTCAACCATAACATCTGGTTGGACCAGAGTGGTACTACGTAATACATAAAGAATCGTTTTTTAAATGATAAATCAGATAAATATCACAAAAAAGGTGAGCTCGCTAACTCATCAGTGATCAGTCATCAAATAAAGTTTGCCATAGATCCCTTAACAATGAGGCTGTTATAGTATGGCGACAATATGTCTTAACTGTCTTTTGGCATTTGGGAATTGCTCATAGTGGTGGCACCAAAAAAAAAAAAAAAAACCACCCTTATGAACTTTAATGCACATTTAAATAACATAACTAAGAAATAATGCAACGTCCGTTCCAGATAGATCATCTCTAGGGTCTGATTCAGTATAACCTGCTTCTTTTGCCTTGGCCACCACCTCACTGAAATTTTGTGTGCCTATAAAGTTGTTAGATAGATAACTCAAAGTAACAATAAATCAAGTGTTAAGGCTTGTGCAAGTTACTTATGTAAAGCAACATGCATTTTAGATGCTCGACCAACTTCGTGTTTTGTAAGCATGACTGTTTCGGGCTACCCAACAAAGTAACTATGCCTGACCTGAAAATGCCTTCAGTGCGCAATATCTTGTCCCCAGTTTCAAGCAGTCTACATAAAGTGCTAATGATTTTGAAGACCAGCGCCAACAGTTGCTTCAAAAAGTAGTGTGTGTAGGATTTCCGTTGAAGGGCCCTCAGCTTTAAATACTGGATTGACGTGGAAATTACATCAGCCACCAAAAGGATCGACAAACAACAAGATTCAAGCAAGGACAAATAATCTTATAGAAGAGTTGATTATGCAATCCGAATTATCGTCTTCTATGTTAACAGAAAGGTGGACCAAGACATTAACTCGTCCAGAATTAGGACTTCATAATTATCATATTATTGTTATAATTATAATATCCAAATGACTTGGCCAAAGTTAACATTACTTGATCAAGAGGCCCAGAATTCGCTTTTTTGTTTGGTGTGATCACATGAATCCCTTTACACAACCAATCATGGTAACAACTGGCAACATGTGAGTCAGCTGTACAATCGACCAAAACCGTATTTGGGAAGAAATGATTCCAATGCACATGTGAGGTCGGCTACTTCTTTCACCTTTAATAGCTCTCTCCATCTCCACAAGTCAATGCCCCTATAATGGAAGATCAATAAGTCCATAGGCTGCAGAGTAATATGCTTATAATGAATAAAACAAGCAGTTTGATTAATCAACCCATCCCCCCATACAAACCCAAATTGAACTCCTAACGACCAACCAAGAAAAAAAAGTTTGTATTATATGAACAGTTATTAATTCACAGAAGGAAGAGCAAAGTCACAATATTGTTTCTGAAATATGATATCGTACCCCTAGGAATATCCATATAAATCTTAAAACTTACGAGTCACTCAACAGCGTATTCCTGGAGCATGTAATTCCCATAACACGCAAGTCAATGTTAAATTCTTCCTTAAGAACTGCTGCCTGCCAAAAGAAAAAGTTCAATACTTATTGAGGTGCCGTGTATGAAAGAGCATATAGCTTCATAACTTAACTTGGGGGAGGACAGACCATACCAACAGCTATTTTTAAATTTCTCCTTTTGTTAAGCATTTTACAATCTCATATCTTTGTATGTATTTTTCTCAGATTATTGGAGTTTGAAACTAATTGCAGATTTTTTGAATTTGGATCAGACTGAAATTAATTCCATAATTTTTTAGTTTTGAATTTTAATGCAAGACGATTTGGTATGTATCCAATTTATAATCCTCATCTTTCACATGCAGTGGAAATTGCAGCAGAAATGCTCACCCCTCAACGTTGATTAGAGCTAAATTGTCAATTGTTTCAAACCCTTTGGAATGTCATATCGCATTACTGGGATAATGGTGCGAGGGTGCAAGACATTTGCCTCAAAACATGACTGCACAATGACATGAATTTAATTTAGAAACGTAAGTCAGAAAGTTACACAACTTTGACAGACATATGAGTAGTAATCAGTTCACCATTTCCCAGGCCTCTTGGTAAGACAATATCCTCAGTATCACAGCTTCGCTAACTGCAGAGAAGATAGCTCTTCACATTACGATATAACCTAATAGTAATGTTTTCTTAAAGTTCTAAGAAGATATCCAAACATTAGAGTGATTTTGCAAGATAAGCATATATAAGGCTCCATACAAACCTGTTCTTGGGTCTGCACTCTACACTCCATCCACATCAGTCCAAATTGTGACTTGAGCCCTGAGTAGTGCACCCATTATAGAGGCAGAGTTGTCGCTTCCATTCCTCTTCAAAGTTGCAGGAATATCATCGGGTGTACTAGCTATAAAACTGGTTGCTATTACTGTCTTCGATGGATTTTGAGAATACAATTTGTTATGCCTGAAGAAGTAGGGCTGATGCAAGACCCAGTCAGCATAAAAAGTCAGAGCTTAGGTAGGCCCATAGCCAGTCAGAGGCAGCCACGTCATACAATGACAGGGACGGCATGCTCGTGTCAGGGCATTGGGTGCACGTCAGACCGGCCAAGAGCTATAGCGATTCCACGTGTCTAATCCCTGTACCAAATCGCGTAAATCACTCTAGAAGGTGGGCAATGGAAAATAAAGAAGGATTTGCATGGATAATCCCACCAACTCATAGATTTAGTAATCATAACCTTAATCCATCTCGCTATAAATTGAGAGCTCCTCTCTCATTTGGGGGATTAGCTAATCTCTCTAAAGAAAAATAGCATTCTCTCTCTCATGTAATCATTTGTAAGTCAGTCCGCTGAACACGACCTGACCATTATTATTAATACAAAATCAGTGGACGTAGGATTCACTTCTTTGAGCATCCGAACCACTTTAAACTCTGTTCTCTGTTGCTTTTACTCTCATTCTCTCAGCCACGTGTCTTCTGGACCAGCTTAGCATTTCACATGTGCGTTTGGTTAGTGTCAAAATCACGGATCAACAGTTTGGCGCTAGAAGGAGGGCCTGATTTAGTATTCGTCCTTCATCAGGAGAATCTCTAACTTACTGGTCCTACAACAACAAATAGCCCACCGACTTAAACCTGAGTGAACCGACCAGGGTGCTCAGGAGATCCCCCAAGTACAGGAGGACACCTCTCCCAAGGTACCTTCGATTCTGCAAAATGCTACGGGGGATATCCCATCAAGTTCACAACTTGACCCTGCCATTATGAGCTACCTGGAGAGGTTCAACAACACTCTCCAAACAGTCAAACAAAGATTGAACTGTTTGGACTAAGGCGTGCGACCCGAATCAGCTGGGGCGGTACAACCGCCAAAAAAGCCTATAGGTCGCATGAAAGGGCATCGAAGCAAGGGTAAGCAAGTGGCGAAAAACGGGCTTAAAGGCTCCAAAGGGCCGGTGAACACCGACCAAGTCCCGAGTAGAATACCTGTGGCGTTAAGACTCGGTGAAAGGTCGCAGCCCAAGCTGTCCCACGCCACGTCACATGAACACCCCCATAAAAGTGTTGGGCGGGGCAATTCTCATCACCGCCAGAGAAACAATCCTGACCATAGTCGTGCGGGAGGTTCCCACACTCTGCGGGGCGGTTTGTACCACCGTGGAGGTCGTGAAAATTCCCCGCACCATTCATCACCATCACACGGCTCTAGCCAACGTGTGCCAAGAGCAGCCGGAACTGTCGACCAAGGCGAAGAGGAATCCGATCTCCGGACTTTCCTCAATCGTAACCGCGAGGGTCGAACTCGCATAGGCAAAAGCAATCCTTAGATAGCTCCACTACCCCAGATTGAGGAGATGCAATGAGCTCTAGACTAGCTAAGAGCTCAGCAAAATGAGTAAGGGCATGTCGCATCAGCGT